TATAAAAATTTATTTATATCACATATTTTTTTACTCAACACATAAATTTAATGTATAATAATATATAATATTATAATGTAAATAATATACAATATATTTAGTTGTTTGTAATTAAAATTTTAATAAAAGAAATATTAATATTAAATTATCTATTTTGTAAATATACATGTTTGGATAAAATTTTATGTAGTTTTCTTTTTGATGATTTGTCGTGCTTCTTATTTTTTCAATGGAAATGCAAAACTGTTTTTCAAACGCAATAGTTCCGATGCTTGTAAACTTGTGATTTCTCTTTCTGTGTAAGATTTGTTTTAAGTCTTGCATAACTCATAAATGATTTGTCGAGGTCGTACCCTATGATGACTCTCCAGCACTGGAACCGGCACAACAAGAGGAATAAATGCCTCCATATTTTCGAACATTTATGAAGTCATTTGATCTAAGGTTTGCTTCCATGGAGTCTCAGCTGACTGAATTTCAACGGGAGATGCTTGAACGTATGAATGCTCTCACACTTGAAGTACGAGCACATTATCCTCCTCCTCCCGATCCTCCTATGGACGGCTAGATCTACCTTGCTTTAGTTTGCTTGAATTGAAACCCGAACTCAAAACTTTGAATTGTGGAACGTTTTGATGTTCATGGATTGTTTTTATTTTGGATGTTTGAATTTGTTGGATGATTGAATGTTTGAACTTAATATATATATTTGGTTTGGTTTGAATTTTCAATTTGAGCTTAATATTGGTTAGTTTTGCATCATTTACATATTAGTAGCATTATGACCAATTTTGCCATTTCACATTGTTTATGAATATTGAATTATGAAACTAATGGCTAACATTTCTCTTGATTGTGATCTTAGAAGCTTAAGCTATATCTATAAGTATCAATTAGCTATGTTTTTCAAAAACCTGGTTTCAAAACGTTTTATAGAGTCGTTTTGATTTAACAAAAAAGGGGAGAAGTTTTATAATAAGGGGGAGTAATTTCAAAATTGATTAAATTGATCTCAAAAATCATTTTAAAAATATTAAAATTACTCAAATGTTTTGTTATATCAAAAGGGGGAGATTATTGAAAACATTTTTATGTTTCGATATAACAAATTAAGATAAAAGAATTTTAAGATTTTACAAATGATTTTCTAAGTATATTTGATATAATTATTCGAATATCAAAATATTACTCTAAGCCTTTAAAAGTTAAATTTCAATCCTTACTAAAGTGTAAAATTGTGTTTTATACTTGAAATATTTTTGAAACAATTTTCACAAAGTATTTCGAACAAAAAACAAGCCAAAAATCAATTTTATGAAGGGATGTACCGATGCACTAATTTGATGCATCGATGCACACCCATTTCGAATGCATTTTATGCACCGATGCACAACCATGCATCGATGCACTCAGGATTTTATTGAAACATCGAATTGATTTTGTTCAGCGATGAACAAGTCTTGCATCGATGCACCCCGACTATTTTTGAAACATCGAAGCAAATTTGTGCACCGATGCACACCCTAGTGTACCGATGCACTAAGTCTTCCAACGGTCGAAATATTTGAATTTTACACATAGTGTACCGATGCACAAAGCCTATGCATCGATGCACCATACGCTCCCAACTGTTTTATTAATTGTTTTCATACACTAACGGTTCTATTAAGTCCACTAATGATCTCCAACGTTCATAAATGATCCAAGGAGTATTTAAACAAGCTTAGAAGCCATTTATCAATATAATTATCAAGAATCAAGAGAGAATCAAAGAGAAAGCATCAAACCTCAAGTTTGAGCATTTTCAAGCCTATTCCATTCAATATTCATTTTTGCTTTCAAGAACACTTATTGTGCTCAATTGTATTATTCTCGAGTGTTATTTCTTTGTTATAGAATTGTGCAAACATCTTTCCTTGTGAGGATTTTCTTGTAAGTTTGTAAAATTTGTATTGTTCTCTTTGGGAGAGAGTGTTCTCAAGAATTTGGGGTATAATTCTTGAGGGATTTGTAAGGTTACTCTTTGTCCTCAAAAGAAAGACAAATTAGTGAATTTGTGGAAAATCCTTAGTGTGGATAGCTAAGGTAGTGGACGTAGACTTTGGTTGAGAAAGTCGAACCACTCTAAATTGTTGTGCAAATATTTTCAATTTTTTTGCAAAAACTTCTACCGAAATTTTTATTGTTAATTTACCCCCTCTTGGCCTATTCCGTCGATCGATTAACTCAACAATGTGTATTCATAAGACCCATTTCTTATGCATTATGATTTGTAAAGTTAGAGTTGTACTAAATGATTTAAACTATATCATGGAGCTTTGAATTATAAAAAAGGTTTTATTACTATTATTGATGTCTTTTCATAAATATATGGTGTTTTGAAAGAAAAAAAAGGCTAACCACTTCGGTGGTTCTGTGTAATATCCTAATCCAACGAGTTTCGGGTCGGATCAGTTAGGGTGTTAGATTATATTTTGACTACTCTTATTTGTTTATCTCAATTTTCCATATCGAATAAAACTACAAATTCAATTCAGAAAAGAAAAGAAAAAAAATCTTCATTCAGCAATCATCCTTTGGTTTGGTCGCATATCTCCTTTAATTTACAACATTGATTTTTCTTTGTTTTTCATTCGATTCAGATTCCTCATTAAATTAAAGCTTAAATCGATCAACTTTTATATTTTAGAAAAATCTTTACTATAGTTATTTCGAAAACACAATTTTGAATTTTCTTCAACTTTTTAAAATCGTATCAAGAAGATAAATATTTGAATCAATTGAAATATATCTTGAAACACTTCTTATATCCTATATATATATATATATATTTTATTAATCTGGGTAAATACAATGTATTATTTGTTTAAAGATAACTCTCAACCATTTGATATTAAATACTTACACGATGCTCGAACTCGAAACCTCAAGAAATAATAAAATTCATTTATCATGGAAATCACTTGGTTGGTGTATCCTATATATTTTAGGTACGAAAAAAAGGAGACCTTATAAACCCTGTGTGTGGGGCTGATCTAGATACTTAAGACTAAAATTACGCATAACATATAATTTTTTATTTGATGTTTTTACCAATTTAAATATTTTGAGAAATTACATCAAAAAGATATTTTGAGAAATTAACTAGTTATATCAATTAAGACCTTTTATTTTGATGGGATCGGTTAAATTTAGTAATTGTTATAGACTATTTTATATATTTTTCCTAAACATACAAAAAATTGAAATCTTAATAATTTAAGTAAATTGACGTAAAAATAAAATATGACGATAAATTTGTAACTTTTAATAATTAATAGACTCAATAAAACAACAATATATAATTGGAAGATCATCATGTAACTTTTAAAAGTCGAAAGACTTGATGAAACAATGCCCTATATTCGGAGAAACCATTTATATACTTTACCCAAAAATTATTTATACTCGCATCTTTGTTTATGTAATAATATTGTACAATGGCTTAAATACACATTTTCCCCTAAACTATACCCATTTTATCGAGTTACCCCTTAAAGTATTTTTCGAGACGTTTTACTTCCTAAAATTGAAATTGTTACCTCATTTGTCCTAATATGCTAACTCCGTTAAAATGTGGGTAATTTACATATTTAGTCACTTAACAATTTGTGTGGTTCAATTTTGGTCAGTTAACTATTTTTGTTTTCAAAATCATCCCTAAACTTAATTTTTTGTTTCATTTTGGTCACCCAATTTGAATAGATTTATTTTTTAAATTTACAATATATAAATTTATTTATATCACATATTTATTTTACTCAACACATAAATTTAATGTATAATAATATATAATATTATAATGTAAATAATATACAACATATTTTACCCAACTTAATTTTATGTGTTCTTACTCATTCTAATGTTTTGGTGAGTTTACTATGTTTTCCTCTAAATCTCTTGACATAGAACGATTAAGATGGCCAGATTTACATCATAATATAACATACTTTTCTTTTAATTATTAGATAGAAGATTTGCGCGGTTTTGGTTTGTTTTTAAACTCAAGCAGAAATTCAGCCTAGGGTATTATACTGCCCTTCTTCAAAAACATAAAGGTTAACTAATGTTCAAGCTTCTATTGGTTTCTTTCAATTGGAAAAATGTCGCTTCTAATTTATTTATCATGAACATGCGGAAAGGCTGAAGCTATAGGAATGTAATATTTTAATTTAATATTTAACGTTTCTTTTATTAAACTTTTAATTACAAACAACTAAATATGTTGTAAATTATTTACGTTATAATATTATTTATCCTTATACATTACATTTATGTGTTGAGTAAAAAAAATATGTGATATAAATGAATTCTTATACATTGCAAATTAAAAAAATAAATCTAATCGAATTGGGTGTCCAAAACGAAATAAAAACTTAAGTTTAATGATGATTTTAAAAATAAAAATAGTTGACTGACCAAATATAACTGCACGAATAGTTGAGTGACTAAATATGTAATTTACCCACCTGTTTTTTAACGGAGTTAACATAATGGGGCAAATAAGGTAACGATTTAAACTTTAAGGGACAAAATATCTCGAAAAATACTTTAAGGGGTAACTCAGTAAAAAGGATATAATTTAGGGGGTAAAGGTATATTTAAGCCTTGTACAATTATACATTACATCGAGTGTCGAATAAAAATAATGAAAATTATATATACATATACTTTCTTCTTCTTCTTCTTTTTTTTCACCTTATCAAACAAAAACTCAATTCATTGGATCATGCGATATGCAGCAATCATCATCAAATAAGAAAAGAAAATAAAACTCCAAGTCCTTTCTTTCTAAAGCAAAAAACAAAAGGCTCATCTTTCCCTTATCCTACATGGTTCAAATCATGTCGTTACAAATGGAGCAAATTTAGTTGGAAGGATCGTCTTATATTAGACATATTGTATTTAATATGAATTAATCGATCAACATATTAAATACCAATAATTATTAAAAATTAAAAGGGCTCATCTTTCCCTTACCCTGATTGATAACCCACCTTTCATCCTAAGAGTTAAAGACAACAAGTGTTGGGGACTCTTGTCTTTTCCTTGAACCTCAACCACAAACCTCTCCAACACAGCTGCCACAATGGATTTCATCTGAATATAAGCCATGTCTTTCCCTAAACACATCCTTGGTCCCCCATGGAATATGGGGAATCGAAACGGATTCTCTTGCCTGTACTTCCCATGCTCATCGAGCCACCTCTCCGGAAAATATTCTTCACAATTCTCGCCCCATATCACCTTCATCCTCCCCATCGCATACGCATGATACGTGAAAAACCAATCTTTCCCTATGAATGTACCGTCCGGAAGTATGTCTTCATTTAGACAAGCTTTTGTGTCGACGGGAACCGGCGGGTACAATCTCATACTCTCGGAAATCGACGCGTGAAGATAGTGCATGTCACGTAGTTCGTCGAATGTGTACGCGTCGCCAATGGTTTTTCCGTTCCGTGTTCGGATCGTTTCGAGTTCGTTCAATATGTTTCGTTCGACATTTTGGTTTCGTGATAGTAACCAAAAGAACCAACTAAAAGCTGAAGATGTGGTGTCTCGGCCTGCTAGGATGAAGCTTATGATGATATCGCGGAGAAACTGAGGTGAATTGTCGTCGTTCTCGATGAACCTGGAGAGTAAGTCTCTGTCTTTGGTTTCCTCTTTAGATTGCAATCTTGTGTTTATGATGTTATCGGCGAAGTCGTGAACGATCTCGGTCGATTTCTTCAAGTTTTTCTCCGATCCAATGTTGAGAAGCTTGTTTAATTTCCATAGAAATGGGAAAGCATACATGAATCTGCCGGAACTGAGCGTTGCAGCCTCTTCGAAGGCACGCATGAAATGAGAACCATTTCCGGCACCGGCGAGACAACCGGGATCGACATTGAAAGCCAATTTGCATATGTTATCGAACGCGAATTGCTCCAAAATATCTTGCAAATCAAGTACCTGTTAAAAACCATGGAAATTCATTGCATTCATCAGTTGATATAATTCAGAAGTTTGAGTCGATTTGAATTCGAAGTCAATTCGACTCAAAATTGAAATTTTACATCTCCATTTGAACTCGAAATCAATTCGAGTCGAATTTTTTTGAGTTGAAAAATTCAGTTTTTCGAGTCATGTCAAATCGAGTCGAAAAATTTAGTTTTTCGTGTAGAGTCGAGCTTACTCACCCCTATTTGTTATATAATGATAGTAGCCAATAACGGATTTAAGATTTTAAAAACGGAGAAGTGCATCCGCTCCACATAATGATGTGGTCCGAAACTATTATTATATGACTACGCTATCCATAATCACTTGAATATCAGCGGTTGTGATTATAATTATGATGAAACATAATTAAAAACGTGATTTAATCCCAATTTAAATCCCTGATTTGAACTCCCATAATCCAAGCATACCTGATTGGTTTGGGAAGCCTGGTAGAGGACAGGAATCAACCTGGTGGAAATCTCGACCCTGACGCAATCCATCATGAAATTGCGAAGCGATTTGGTGCTGAACTCGTAGCTTGCCGTCTTCCTTTGGATCTTCCATACCTCGCCGTCTGAGTTGAAGATTCCCCGGCCGAGGAAGTCGTTGAGCATCCAAATGAACCGCTCCCCTTTCGGGTAGTTCTTGAAGTTGTTCTTCAGAGCATACTCCACGTTCAAAGGGTTCGCCGTTATCACCCCATGGATCTTCCCAGGACGGCGAAACACGGCGGTGTTAGTCGGACACTGCCGTAGGATCTCAGTCGTCCAATCGAGGAACCGATGCCGGTTTCTCAAGAAGTCAGGCAAGGAACCGAGTATGGGGTAGCTTTTGAAGCCATGATTGTTTACTTTCCGTTTATGGTGTAAACTGAAGAAGAAACAGTAAAGAATGACGAGAGAAAGGAGAAGAAAACACTGAAATGAGCAAAATAGGTCCATTTCCATGGCTACAGCTCAAGGATAGTGGAGTTATCGTGTAACACCCCAAACCGATGCGGGTAGCCCGATCCAATTCGGGAAGTCACATTAGGGCCACCGGAGCGACCCACCGTAAAAATAGCGGAAATTTTAAAACTTTTTATCAGAACATGTAAACTTATAAAATCATTTATCACTATTTAAAAATAAAACAGATTTCCAAACTCGTATATAAATCAAAATACAATTACATGTCCCCTAATCACAAGTACCATACTCTACAACCACGCCGGAAGAACTCCCTTACTGAAGTCGATAGATGCACTGGTACAATTGTTTTAACCTGAAAAGGTGAGTAATAGAGTGAGCTTTGGAAAGCTCAGTAATACAAAACTACCAGATGATGCTACATGACATGTAGATAAATGGAAAGCCATATAATTTCCTTATTGAATCATACGTATACTAGCTTGCAGAATAATTTGGGGTTCCATTAAAAGTTCATCGAGTAGAAGCCATGAATCTCAGTTCATAAGAAACCTTTCAAAGTATGACATTTTCAGGAGATCGAATAGGATGTCTAGTGTGTTCCAACAGTATAATAAAATCATAATAGGTACAAATCATAGTCCAGTAAATCTCACAATTTCGTAAAAGAGTTTAACTTTTGAAAATCATAGTTTAAACCCTTTTCTGGTACACCATCAGTAGTTCCCAAAAATTATTTTCCATATAGCTTACTTTATGCACATAGCAAAAAGAAAGCCGACTTAAGGATAGGCTATGAAGCTTGTATCCTTAAGCCCAAGTCAATAAGTCCATATAGCTTACCCTAAGCACACAGCAAAGGAAAGCCGACCTAATGAAACATCTTGGGGCCCTCAAGAGTCACATTAGGCCCATTTAGCTTGATCAGAGCTATTCCATCGTAATTCAATTCCAAAATTCAATTGCACCGTGACATAAATTCCATAAATCCAAAAACATGGTAATCATATACCATTTCAAAACAAAAATTAAATAGCAGCCATATTCCATAAATTGTCGCATTAAATTGGTGCATCCATAAAACAATAACCAATGAATTCGGTGTACCACATATTAAAACCAATAAAACAGTTCAGTAATAAGTAGGGAACACACTAGAGAATCCAAGTATTTCCAGAGGCCATTGTAGTTATCATTTTGGATAACATGAAACTTATGAAATTTGAACGAATTCCTGGAACAAGGTTCTATTGAGGAGAATCGATTACTAACCGATCTAGCCAGACATTTAATGTTGATACATTAGAATCCCACTATATTTTCGTGTGCTTTAGGAAAACGTTCAGGAACCTTTATACATAATAATTCTAAATTCAGATTTACTGCGAGTGATTCCATTACCCAAACAATCAGGGGTATTCAGGAATATACTTTAAATTCATAGGATTTCAGCCCAATTGAACCAAATGAGATATTCAGAATCTTTTTCATCTGCGTTACTTGTTTTTTTTTTCAAACATGACCGAAGTGATTTTAGATGAAATATAGAATCGAAGATTCAAGTCATTTACAATCTACGACTATCGATCATATTATCAAACAACTCGAGTTACACAACTCTCAAACTGATGCATGTCAACAAGTCAATTCATTATCCTTCCAGTGTATTCACTCTTTAATACCATAGTGCAGATCCATAGATCATCCCCATAATCATCACTGAATAAATCTTCCAACGGTCTTTATTTCATTTCCACGTTTCAACAATATCAGGAAATACTGACGTACTTGATCCATGGATCATAACCCATAATGACAATCCATCATGTAAGTTCAACAGTGTTTCCAAACTCATCAAATCACCTATTTAATCCTTAGTCATTGATGTTACTTAGTTCGTTTGGTAAGCAAGTCTATCCCGATTACTTTAAAGTTTTCCAGAATAATTCAGACGTTTCTGAATTTCAAATACACGTTGTACTTCATTTCATTTCAATTTATTCATATAATAAAGTCATTCTGGTATTCGTGGTTGATTTGACTAACGACTACCCACTTATTAGTACTGTATGCGCTCTAGAGTTGAGCTGCGCCAAGTACTTCCAGAATTATCATCGATCCAAATTTGAGAAGATGAACAAACATTCAAGTGATACTTATATCATTCAGGTAATGATATAGTACTAACGTTGATTAATCACTTAAGTTGCGTTCCACAACTTTTACTGGTAGCACAACATCCATGTTTATTTGGATTTCTTAATTAATCCAAGACATTTACTTATTCTAGGTCATAAGGGCATTTTGGTCATTTTGGTGCTTAACATTTTTTTCTATTCATTTCAAAGCTTGAGTATATCCATTCATTCCTGAGCTTGGTGACATTCTTGAGTCATTTCCATTCCAGGGGTAATTTGGTCATTTTATAATTCTAGAATATTTCAATCATTTCCTTCCATCCGGTCTTATTATTTAATTCAATATTATCATTTACTTCAGTCCTTTCGAACAATTCTGTCAGCAGAATACCTCCGTTAAATTACTCTTCAAGTATTTACTCCTTATTCGAATATTTTCGGGTCAAGTGTCTTCTCAGATTTTACAAACGGAATATTATAAATTTTTCTGTACAAAGACATGATCTTAACAATTAAATTCGTACTTAATCGAGTTAAGTACAAATCCTCAAAGTACTCTCTCATTCAGGGTCAATTCAGACTATTTTTTCTCTCAAGGGCATTTTCGTAATTTCTTAACCATAAATTTCAATATTAGCTCTTAATGAAAATAATTATAATTTAGAGATCCTATGATCAATTGCTTTCCCGAACATTCTTTGATTTTGAAATGATTCATTCACAAACTCTCATAGGATTAAAACCGGTTATCCATAATTTCCAAATAAAACTAACATTTCTTATGCACATCAGTAGTTATATCGGATCAATATCTTTTCAGAGTTATTAACCAACTTCCAGTGGCAATTCTTATCATTTTCCAACATAAGGGTAATTTCGTAATTTTACCATATCGGAGTATTCTCATAATTTTTCATCCAAGTATCTTTAACATTTAACCCTTGATGATATAAATATAAGTTACAAATCCAGAGCTGATTTCTTTATCACCAATCACAAACTTGTAATTTAATTCTAACAATTATCAATCTCTTATCTTAGTCATTCGATCCGTATTTAGTTACAGAATTTCTACCACATTCATATCGAGTGAATAAATTATTCAACTCCACAAAAGTGACCAACATTATCTTATTCATGCATTTACCAATATCAACATGTTCCATAAAGCATAAAGAGGTAGTAAAGTATTACCTCGATTTTCCGTGCCATATCGATCGACCATTTAAATTCCATTTGAACGCCCTCGATCTTTAATTTAACTTCCAATATTTTCCTCACGATCCAGGCCATCAAAATTATTAACTCGTATCCAAATAATTTCCCTCGCCATAAAGATAGCTTATTAGAATTTAAATAATAATTTGGAAACCAAATTTGTATAATAAAATACTTGTGGGTTACTTTAATAATTAATCACTAAAATTAGAGACTGGACCAAAATAATTTACACTATTGGGCCGTAAACAAAAACTAATGAAAATTAGGAGACAAGGCCAAGTTCTTACCATATGCTTCTTCGAAATTCCAAGCTGTAGGTGGAAATCAAATAAATTTGGCCCCACATTTGACATTGGAGATTGATAATGATTTGAATAGCCATGTGTTTGCAATGAATAAACAAAATGATAATGGAATGGTCTCCACGGCAAATGCAACAATTGAAAATGCATTGGACCCCACGACAATTTCAGCACCGAAAGTAATTGATAATTCATTGGCCCCCACAGCAATTGCAGGACCGAAAGTCACATTGGATTTTCCTTTGTTCGAGTGATTGCATCGTCCACCTCTTTTCTCACTTCCTTCTCGATGTCCTTCAACTCTTTCTCAGAAGCTAGGTTATGGGATAATATCAACTTCCTAATTCTTTCAATTGGATCACGCTCATGCCTAACACCACTAATCTCATCACGTGTTATATAGGTACTTCCAAGATCAAACATGGAGCGACCATGATACCTACAGGTGTGTGTCCATTTCAAGAATTATTGGTCCACTCTTCAAGGCATGTTCTTTAGCAAACTTGCAAGCTTGCTTCACAGCGAGGGCATACATACCATCCACCTTCAAACCATGAACAAAATCCACACGTTTGTAATACGCTGGACTCTTCGCGGCTTTCCACTCGACTGGCCCCTTTAGCTCTAAAACGAAAACTTCCAGCAGGGTGTTACCACGGCCCATGAATGTGCAGTGATCATAATAGGTGGTTAAAACATAAGGTATCCATAAACAATTATCAAAAACAAGTTCCCAAGGGCCGTGGTGGTGTAGGTAAGAACCCATAGGTCTGTTCACACATTTACTTGGCTGAAACTGGAGGTTTGAATATGAGGTACGGCGGATTTTTTTAAGGTGGATATTCGTCGGAAACAAGATCGGTCAGAGATGAACATCCTGCGATGAAACGTGCATTCGATGAAGAAGAAGAGAGACATGGAGGAGGAGGAAGAAGAAGAGAGATATCGAGGAGGAAGATGAGAAGGAGCAATAAATGTTGTGGAGCCATTTTCTTTCTTTTGTCAACTAATTAAGCTGTGAATCAACAAGTAGGAAATAAAATAAAATTTCCTCTAAGCTGGAAAACGATAGATTCAAGGGTGGCAATGCATTATCCTTAATTTATTCTCATCTCACCCAACAATTTGTCCACTTCTACCTACTCTATCATCCTCATTCATAATTTTTTTTAATTAATTTACCCCATAATTGGGGTGTGACAATTCTCCCCTCCTTAAAAGAATTTCGTCCTCGAAATTCATTCATGTCGCATAATTGCAGAAATGAAACTTCCAACAGTTCTTTCATATCTTTAAGTAGCTTTTACAAAAGTACGGATCCTCCACAAATTCTTAACAAGTTGAGTATACCTTCTTTTCAAAACTCTCTCTCATTCCAATAAAAGAA